CGCCATCGTAAAATCTCCCTGGTCCCCCTGGGAACCCCAGGCCTGATCACATAGCCAGGTCTTGAGGGACTTACAAAATGTTAAGAGGGATGACAAATCCTGTAATTTTAATCCTGGAGATCTCTCATGAGAATGCTAAAATCTCACAAGTTGTGTTGATTTTATGAGACTTCAGCTACATATAATTTAAAAAGCAACAATGTATTTATTTTACTGGGGACTTCTTCAGATGCCATTAAGATATGTTGTGAATAGTTAATGAGTGCTATATCATCAATCCCAGTTATGGTGGGTCCTTAAGGTACATGTCTTTACATATCATTGCATTACTCATGATTCTTTTAACCTGTAGGTCATACAATAGATTGATTTCATTTTTCATTTCGCCTTTTCTACAGGAACCTCAGAGTGATTGCATGTAATAAACTTCCATGTTCACCGCTGTTTTTTCCTATAGCAGTTTTTTGGTACAATTTATTTGGGAGGGAGTGAGCAGACCAAGATCATCCAAAGATCTAATGGTTGAGTAGGAATCTAAATTCACAATTCCTTTGGCTAAAATCCCAACATTGATGGGGTCTGTACATTGCATTAAGTCACGGTTTGTTGATAAGCTACAATTAGCTGGATTCACATGTTAAGCTATAAATAGTACTTACATATCACAATGACAGACTTAACTGATTCTTCAAATTGAATGTCTGTATCAGATTGTCATGTGAGATGTCTATCAGACTGGTGATTTGGAAGAGGTGGTATGTTTTGCAAAACTATTCTTTTACAAGTGAAAGAAAGTTAGTGTTCTAACCAACTGCTCAAAATGCAAGGAATACACATAAGAGGAAAATAAGGGGAAAGTATTGCTTCAGTGGAATCTTTCCTGATAGAAGATAGTGAGGAAGCTACATAAACTGCTTATACTGCAGTCTTAAGATGACCTGCCACCATTAGAAAACAAACTGTACGTATTAATATCAGAATGTGATCCCATCTTTTTTTGTCTTTTTATTGTTTTTTTTCGGTTGGGCTTTGGCTGATTGATGCTTTTACCATTGTTATTTGTTTGTTTTTGTTTAATATGTGGCCATGGGAATTTGAAATGGTTTTTGGTTATATTCTATGTAAGCCATCAAGAATCACTTTGATTGTGGTGGGGTAGAAATGTGTTTGATAAATGAATAAGTAAATATACACTTTTCATGGAAAAAGTGGTGGGATTTTTGCATTTACATGTCAGAAATGCGTACTTTTAAAATTCCTAAATGTTCCGTCCTCAGATTGAGTCCCACATTTTGCTCAGGCAGACTCTGATTTGGTTTATTTAACATATCATCTGGAGTGAGCTTCTGTAGATAGTAAACCACTTTTTTGTGGATTATTCAGTACAATTCATTGTAGTTTATTCTATAGATATTATCAAGAAGACATGGGTGCCTTGAAGGTCACTGATGTGTAAAGCACCCATTTCATTCCTTATGTTGCCAATTCTCCCCCCCCCCCCCATTTTGTTGCTGAACATCGGCAATGTTGCCTTCAGATTTTGGTAGTATAATCTAGAGGTATGAATCACACACAGATTGCCAGTTGATGATTGCCCATGCTTGGCTTTGTGCAGTGTGTGAATCTGGTCTTTATCAGCTCTAAACTTTAATTAAATTATTAAATTGAGAAGGAATTTAAGAGGAAAAGAGAGAAGAAATCAACTCCTCTCAGGAGGGATATGCAAAACCTGACCAACTTTCTCTGCATCTCTTTCCTTTTAGGAAGACATGCAACTGGCAACATTTGGAGAAGACTGGAAATATGAAAGGAAGCCTTCTTCTAAACTGAGGAGGGTTGAAAAGACAGTCCTTATTTGATCATTCACTGCCCTTCCATGTGACTGCAGTGGCGGATAACTTTTTTTTCTTTCCCTCAGCCTCTTGGGCCAGAGAGCGGCTTACGGTCTTCCTAGTATCCTCTGGTGTCAGCCTTTTTCCCTCAGTGGCAATGAAAAGGAACACAGGTGAGATTTTGACAGCAGAGTTTTGCAAGAGTGCCCAAGCATTTCCAAATCAGAGTAAAAACATTGCTGACCAAAGGACATAATAACGAATATTCCAGCTTTCAGTTCTTGGGCTGAGACCTGAATCAAGAGAAGAACTTCCACCCATCACCCCTCTTTTTTTTTTTAGATTTTTTTTTATCCCACCTTGATTATTGTTATAAATAACTCAAGGCGGCAAACATATCTAATACTCCTTCCTCCTCCTATTTTGATGTAATCAGCTGTTCTAAGGGATCAGAATGTATTCAGAATCAGCAGCACCTGAGTTGTGTGAACGGTGGGTGTCTTGAAACCTGAGTGCTACAAAAGGGTTAAATTGGGTGCACCACTATTCCTTGTTTTGGTGATGATGAGTTTGTAGCTTTGATTGCAAATCTTTCATTAAGGCTGCATGCCACAACCACCACTATCTTCTTTGGCAGGTAAAAATGGCTAGTTAACATTGGATGCAAATGGGTCTATTTCATCCATCAACTTTAATCAGAAGAAACTTGCAATATCTTGCTACCACAGAAAACACGTTTCACATAAAGTCGATGCTGAACTGGTCTTGAACTCATGCTTGCTTCTGCTGTTGCAGATTCTTTCTTGAGATATCCTTGGGATCAGTTTATTATATTCCATGGATATGTGACTTTCCCTGGACTATGACCACAGTTTATTGCAATGGAGGTCCAGGGAGCCACCAGAATGCTAGATGGAGTCAGGAAGATAGCGGAGAGAACCATTCTAAGAAAGTTGTGTACACAGAAGATGAACCAGGCAACCAGCACCATCTGACCCCATTTGAGAAACTCATTCTGGATATGTCCCAGGATGAAAAAGTGGTAAAAGAATTAACTCTGGGGAAGAGGGTTGGGTTTTACAGCATCAGAGGTAAAATTGGAAGTGGGAACTTCTCCCAAGTGAAACTTGGAATACACTCTCTGACAAAAGGTAAGAACAATGCAGTGGGTGGAACTTGAGTTTATGGAGGGTTTATGCGGGCCAAAGAGAAGGCACGTAGAATGGAGACAGATAAGTGTTAGGTTGTGTGTAGATGTCCTGTGTCATATGTATCTCCCATATGTGTATTGAAAAGGTATGTCCTGAAAGCAATAACCGAGACTGAATCATCCCAGTTAATGCCAAAGCTGAAAGATTAAAATATGCGTTGACTGTCCTTTTAACATACTTTGTAAACCGTCCTGAAATAGATCTCTGCTGAGATAGCCTATTCTCCTTACAGTTTGCTAGTGCATAGTATTTGTCTGTTAATCAGTGCAGTTAATTAAGAGGGCCAAAAAAGTGGGTAGAGTGTGAATGTTATTTTGTGTAAAATAACTTGGGATCATCTTCATGCAGCTCTTGTGCTGGATCACTGAGTTTCGTGTAAGGCAAAGAGGTTGTGAACGTTCTTTTAATTCACAGGTCTGCAAAGTCTTTATCAACCAGCAGCTTACATTGCAATGTTTACATACATAAACTTGCCTCAGTTCAGATCTACACTTTTGCTGGTTGTTGAGCATTTCAGGAGAATCAATAACTTCAGCTCAGCTAAACTGAAACATGGGAATAATTTATAAGTGCAGCTCAAATTGTGTGTCTTTTTCTTTTGTCCCATGTTTAATCCAGGAAAACTGAGTGAAGCTTACAGGCTGCCCGTGATGGGTTTTGCTGTTACACAAGCAGGCTGGATGTCCATGCTGGAGGACTAAATTAGGTTCAGAAGTCTTTGTAATCTCCACTACTAATCTTTAGAGATGATAATCATATTAAAAGACCAAGATAGCTAAATATATCTAACTGATCAAGGGAGATACCAGTCACGTGTCAACCTTGGTTGTAAACATTAGCGGTTTGAGGACTGTGCACAAATTGGTTGAGATCTAAGGAACTACTCAGGTTACTTCAATTCAACTTTTCTAAATTTTTCCTTTTTAAGTGGCAAGATCTACTTCCCATGGTGCTTTAGAAGATCTGCTTTAGAAACTGCTGGTTGTGTTAAATAATATGTGCTCAGATTCACATGGAGCTGATTTAAGTTAAATTGTGGTAAGGAGCTTTGAACCAACTCTTGATGGTCTCAGCAGACAGAATTCTTCTCAAATTCTTCTTCTTGAATAATGTTTTGTATTTTTCTTTCTTTCCTAAGCAAGAGATTAGTCATGTTTCCTAACAATGTGAACATAAAAATGGTATTTTCCAGAAAAAGTAGCCATCAAGATCCTGGATAAAAGTAAATTAGACCACAAGACCCAGAGACTCCTCTCTTCTGAAATTTCTAGCATGGAGAAGCTGCATCACCCAAACATTATCAGGCTTTATGAAGTCATGGAGACCTTCTCCAAACTGTACCTGGTCATGGAGTATGCTAGTGGAGGGGAACTTTTTGCTAAAATCATGAGAGAAGGGAAGTTATTGGAAGAAGACAGCAAGCACATTTTTTCCCAGATTGTGTCTGCCATCAAACATATGGTGAGTCCTTTCCAGTTGCCCATGCTGGCTGGGGTTGATGGGTGTGGTAGTTCAGTACCTCTGGAGGACTTCCAGGGGCATTTTGGTGTTTCCAGTGCCTTCACAGTTACTGGGGTGTTTCTTTCATTGAAAGCAGAGAATGCAAGACAAGCTTTCCCTACTGGAGTAAAGTGTCAAGCAACAATTCTTCCCATGATCAAAACTGTGTTAACTTTTAGAAAAATGGTGATTGCCATTGAAGGCAAGACACTGTAGTTCTCTGCCTTTCAATCTGATATTTGAGGAGAAGAGAGTCCTTGGTAAATCTCCTCTGTATGTCAAGCTGTGCATGGGAGGGAGGTACACAAAACACCACGATTTATTTCGTATCTGTTTGTCCCATCATGTTTCAGAATTTTTTTCCCCTTGGGGTCTCTTTGCTGTACATATCACAAGATTAATACCTATGACTTCTTCTGTTCAATTATTATAGTGAGATGGATATAGCTACAGCAACAGGTTCTAAGTCTTTTTTGGAACATCCACTATCATCTTCCTTCCAGTGATTAACTTTTACAGCTCATTCTTCAGATTCAAAGTTCTCAGAGCAAGATACAGACCCACATACACACCCTGTTGCCATAAGATGTGGCAAACACATTTTCCTTACATCCTGCTCACACCACTGGCTTCTCTTGCAAATATCTCCTAATTAAAGAAGGAGCTTCAAAACAGGGTATGGCTTCTCAATTCAAGGAAGAAGGCAAGAGTGATACGTGACACAGCAGTGTATATTCACTGATTAGGGGGTGGTGGTGGGTAGGAGCCTGTTGAGTGTGGCCTAAGACACCTAGTTAATATTCCTCACATCTTCCAAACTATCTCTGCCCATCTGTCTGATGTTGCTTCCCTCCATAAAGTCTCCCAGCTGATTCCTCACCTCTCCCTTCTTTAACCCCACATCCCTTTGAACATCTCCACTTGCTCATACCCAATCCTGCAGCACATCATTTTTCCTCCCTAGTTCTTCACAGCTCCTGTTGCTCTGCCTGTCAGGTCCACCTGCTGTGGGTTTCTTCGTCTGCTGCTTCCTCAGCCTCTCCACATATTCTTAAACCATCTCAACCTGCCTGCATCCAATCTGCACTGCCAGCACTGATTGCATTCCTCAGTGCTTCCCAATCTGTCCTCCAGTCTTCCTATATTGCTTATAGAATCATAGACTTGTAGGGTTGGAAGGGACTTTGGAGATATTGTAGTCCGACCTGTACCCAGAGCTGAAATTCTCAGACCATTCCAGACAAATGGTGGTTCAATCTTGAAAAAAACTATCCAGGAGGTAGGATGTTCCAGTACTTAATAGCTCTCATGGTCAGTAAATTCCTTATTTTGAGTTTGGATCTTCCCCCATTGGCTCTTGTCCTATCCTTGGGTGTTATGGAGAATAAATCCACAACCTCTTCCCTGGGGCAGCTGTTCTTGTACTAAAAGACTATTATGTCTTCCCTTAGCCTCTTTAGGCTAAACCTACACAGTTCCTTTAATAGTTCTTCATAGGATTTAGCCTCCAAGTCCCTCACCATCCTTGTCACTCTTCTCTAAATGATTTCCAGTTCTTCAGGTGGAGCAGCAGGCGGTTGGGAAACATCCGGAAGGGGAAGCAGTGTCAGGCAATGCATGGAATTGGTGCAGGTAGGCAGAGAAGGCTGGGAAGGTGTGAAGAAGGCAACAGGGTGTCTTAGGTGGCACCCAATAATTTTTCCACAATGTTCTTCCCCAGCTTGGTTGCCTACTTAATCCAGCCACTCAACACACTTAGAGTTTCCCTGCATCTAATCTCCCTGCCTGCAAAGTTGTGGCTTTTCTTTTCATCAGTAGAGAACAGAGATCAGTAGAGATCTCTACAAAGCTATGGCTTTTCTCTTCATCAGTAGAGAACAGAGCTCAGAAGAGATCTCTACAAAGCTATGGCTTTTCTTTTCATCAGTAGAGAATAGAAATCAGAGATCAGTAGAGAACCCTTCCATTTTTCATCAGTGGAACAGAAAAAAGCTGCAGCCTTTTCTTGAATTTCATTTATTAAAAACTAACAAGATATTACATCCATTTTGAAAGTTGTATGATATAATAGTATAAATAATTAACTAAATGATTAAACCATTAAAAAGTGGCACTGGCTACTTTTGACATACTGCACCAAGGCTTTGCCTTTGGACTAATTGAAGTAGCTATTCCCTGGCTTAAAGTGTGATGAAAAGGTATATAGAATAATGCAATCAAGAGAAATTGCTGCCTTGCATGTGCAATTCTAGCCACTTCTGATACAAAACTGGTACGAAACTTTAGCCTCAGTGTAAAAGAGGCACAACCATATTACTACTACTAGGGTAGCATTGAACTCAGGTTTGGTTGGCAAAACAATATGGAGGTCATACAAAATTTTGTCCTAGTTTTGGGGTGAACATATCAACACTGGTTTTTCAAATATTCCTTGGGAACCCCATATTGCCTTGTTCCCAGGCCAGCAGGATTGGGTTGCAAGTACTTCTGGATTTGAAAATAGTGACCACACCTGTATGAGTGCTTAAGGCTTTAGTTCAAGGCAATAATTACATAATAACATAACACAAGACAGCAATCAAAAATATGTAAGCATATAAGAAGACAATAAGAAAAGGAGAGAGAGAATTCATACTTCTTCTGCCAGGCCAGGGTCTGCAAAGAAATAACAGCAAGCAGACCTCTACACAGCCACCAAATATGCAGCACCCTCCTGGTTAAGTTTGCATCTAAGTTCCAGCTTATAGGGGTTTCTGACCAGCTTATATAGGTTCCAAAGTGCAATTAATTGCTCCTGTTTTCAGTGGCCTCATCTCATGTGATTTTGCCAAGGACAAGGAGAGTAAGGCTGTCTTATCTTGTTCTTGGAATATTTTGCCTAGTGGCAATGAGACCATCCCATGGTTTGTGACTGAAGATGAGAAAGATCATCCTGTTACCAGCCATCTCTGCCTACCTGCACACACCAAGAAGTAAAGCTCTTTAGTTTTACATCATTACAAACCCCAATTTTAAATGTCTGTTTATGGTGGTGGTTCAACACTCAGGGTGCATGGAACAAGATGGTAGAAGACTTTTGGGTGGAACCACATTTGGGGTTTGTGGATAACAAGGCTGAGACTGGGGATGGGGAGGGAAAAGGACACGAAGAGACCTCAGCCATGATTTCTTATTATTTCTTAGTTCTTCATGGCTCTCACAATGGCCAGCTATGATGGAAGTGGGCTGTTCTTGGGACCCAAATGACCTCTGGTCTTCCTCATAGGACTGTTGGTTTGGTTGGCCTCTCCCAAGAGAGAAAAAAGGCTCCCGCTACTCTGCTAGAATCAGCTGTAGTAACTGGAGAAGGCAGTTCATTATCATCATTCCAGCTGGGAATTCTGAGTATTGTAGTCCAAAGACACTTAGTAGGTTTTTGTTTGGGAGGGGAAGGTGTATAAAATAGAACCCCAATTGTATGATATCTTAGCAAGCAACTGAATATAAGGTTTTCTTTATATTCCTACAAGTAAAAGAACTAGAAAAGTACTAGGATTTGGGAGTGGGGGGGAAGCTGAAAATGCAAGGGAGAGACTGCAATATCCTTAAAGAGGTTTGGCTCTTCCTGTTGCATGGAAATACCCCTGCTGATAATTTTGCACAGAAGAATCATTAACATACTTTACTACTCCTCACTGCTCTGCATTAATGCTTTTATTAAAATGTCTGTGCATTTTTGGCCCAGATAAAGAGTTTGAAAACCCCAAACAATAATCAGCTGGTTTCCTAAATTAGACTGTCTGCTTTGGCTGTTGCTTCTTTCTATACTTTTCAATTCTACTCTGCAGCATGACAACAACATAATTCACCGGGACCTGAAAGCTGAAAACGTCTTTTACACCAGTAACACATGTGTGAAGGTGGGAGATTTTGGATTCAGCACAGTAAGTCAAAAAGAGGAATCCTTGAACACTTTCTGTGGTTCTCCTCCTTATGCTGCTCCAGAACTTTTCAGAGATGAAAGCTACATTGGGATTTACGTGGATATCTGGGCCCTAGGAATCCTTCTGTATTTCATGACCACAGGGCTCATGCCATTTCAGGCAGACACAGTGGCCAAGCTGAAAAAGTGCATTCTTGGTGGAGTATATAGCTTGCCACCATACCTATCCGAATCTTGCCAGAAACTGATCCGGGCGGTCCTGCAACCGGTTCCGTCAGAACGCTGCTCTGTTGCTCACATAATGAATAGTGAATGGATGAATGGTGTGCAATACCCAAAACCCTTGGAACCCTTTAAACTGGATCCCAAATTTTTGGCAGAGGGCAGAAGCCTCCGAAAGGAAGAGGCTGAGGTGAAAATCATTTTGAACCATTTGGGAATCACAAAAGGGCACATTCAGAATAACTGTGGGAGAGATTCCCACAGCTCAATAACTGGGACTTACAGAATTGTTCTTCACAGAGTGCAGAAGAAACGGGCCATGGAGATTGTTCCTATCATCAGCCAACCTGAACCCAAGAAACAAAGGCCAAAGAAAAATCTGTGTCCCTATCAGGGCCACAAATATTCATCGAAGCTCTGCTTGATTTTATAAAGCACCTCCCTGGCTTAGTCTGCTGCAACATTTTGGAGTCCTTTTGTTTGGTACCAGTTTACCCTTGCCCTTAGCTTTTTTGTAATTTTGAAAAAGTAAAAAGGATGCCTTAAAGCTTCTGATGTATGGTTCTTACTCACAAAACTTAAGGCCAAATCTTACATTTTCTGTGATTTAATTGCTTTTGTAGGTTTTTGTATCTGGGGAGAAGATGAATCTCACTGTTTTTGGAGAAACAATGCTGCATACAAGTGTGTTTAGTTTGTTGTGATAGATGCAAGCATCAGTTGGGTAATGTCCTAAATTAACACAACATTGTCTCTCCTCCCACCACATTTATTAATCTACGTCAGTGGTTCAACTTTTCATGTCTTATCACTCTACCAAAGAAACAAACCAGGAATTTTAAAAAGTTGCTTTTTCTGAGGACATGTCTATGTTTACAAGCATTCTTTTATTAGTATCCTTGTTGACCAACTGCTATAACTGTAAAATAAATAAGAGCCAATTGGGGCTGAAACCCTGCTTGCCCCTGTGGGAGAAGTCTTTGCTTGACACAAACCCCTCCCTACACCCAGATAATGAATGAGAACTAGCAGAAGTTGAAGTCGTATTTTCCATAAGCTCTAATGATAACATGATGCCCAAATAGACAAAGCCTTTGCAGGGAGGGTATTCTACGCCCAAACCCATTGAAGCTTGCTCCTGGCCCTAACTGCAGCAAAGGCTGCACCATGATGCTCCGTTCCTTTGTCTTAACACAGTTGAAGACTGATGGCTTTACTTTAGCTGCCTTTCTCTTGAGCGCTTTCTGGATTTCAGGAGAGTCACCATGCTACTGGTTGAGAAATGCTGCTTTGGGAACCGTTTTAGTGAGTTGCAAGATTTTTAAATACATTGTTATCTATGCATTCGAGAACGTGTGTGTGTGTGTGTGTGTGTGTGAAACAGAGTGTCTTATCCAGTGTTTCTCAACGTTGGCAATTTGAAGATGTGTGGACTTCAACTCCCAGAATTCCCCAGCCAGCCATGAAATCCACACATCTTCAAGTTGCCAATGTTGAGAAACACTGGTCTTATCAGTGCTCTGCCATGCAATTTCCCCCCCTCCCCATAAAACCGCAATTGATGAGACTGCTTGGAGGGCAAGAACTAGTCATTGCAACTGAATCACATATAGGAAAATGGAGACATGGCCATAATTATATGTTAGACTTATATTTTAATGGGAAAGAGGAAAAAAAAACTTGTGCCACATACTACAAACCTGTGGCAGCTCCAAAACAGGAACAAAAAAGGGCAACCAGAGACTGCTGTCATTGTGGAAGTATGCAGTGTGGCGTGCAGAGTCCAACATTGCACTTCCAATGAAGAAAACAAAGCACTGCTGTTTCTAATGGGGATGTGCAGGTGTGAAATCGCAACTTGGTTGCCCTCATTCAGGAGATAGTTTGGTGTGTTTATAGGCATAGAGACTACAGCCGGAGCAAGCTGGAATGCTAGCAGTGTACCAACCCTGTTCTACAGCATGCTTGTATCCAGGAGAGGGAGCAACAGTGCAGAAAAAGATAAAGGTACACTATGGGGGGGGGAGGGGAGGGAGTTGACATACAATGTCATGTGTGAGGAGAGGAGGGAGTATCTCTTAATTTGATAGGGAATTGAGCATGCTGGAATTGACCATCAAAAAGTTGGCTGCAAGAACTTGTTAAGTTACAAATCTGGGACCAAGCTGGACATAACATTTTCTAGTCAGCCTACCTCAGGAGCCTGACATGAATGAAGCTAAGTAGGAGGACTAAAATATTTTGCCCCTTGCTGTAGTCTTGAGCCAGGTCACTGTTTGATGTTTTCTTAGACATCCCCCCCCCCTTTTTTTAAAGTAATTTTGTTTTTCTGGATGGGAAATCCTACATTAACTATGTTTAATATATCTGCCCTTTAGCCCAAACTCTGAAACAAACACCACACCAACTTGGCTCTTAAAATAAACCTTTGCACCATCATTCCTGTGAAAACAAAGCATTTATTTCACATATAAATTTGTTTAATCTCAGTCATCAAATAGCAATGGTAGAAAGCTTTTTGTAAAGCTCATTGACTTAGGTAGCTAGTTCTCTAGAGGTGGAGAACATTTGGTGAGCTCCCTTCAAGAGATCGCCAGAGTTGCAGATACTCTAGTTGCTTGATGCTTTCTCCAGTGGAGAAAGATATGGGTTAGTTGAAGCCAGTTTGAGAAGAGGCTTCCTGGCTACTTGGAATAGCCCAGCAGGAAAACCAAATGATGCCAAGAATATGGCTTTTAAATCAGGGGTAACCCCACCTCATTGTATCATCCAATGTGCCCAGGCAGATGGACCAGTTCTTCCCCCAGAATTAACAAGTGTTCATTAATGCCAGGATGTGATGCTCTTATAAAGTATTAGCCATCTATCAAATTAATTTTTTAAAATAGGTAATTTGGGAGTTCTGCAGATGCCATTTGGATTGTTGAGAGTACTTGGTGCTTACAGGCATGTGTTCCCAACTCTAATTGCTGTGGAATTCACAAAATAGTTATGTTTAACATCCATTTTTTTCTGTTAAATCTAGATCATATATTAATTTTACCTTTCCTCTAAGAAATTCCTCTGATTTCTCACATGTCCATTGAGGGGTTCACAAGTCACAAGAAGCCATAGTTTGTGGAATAAGCCACAGCTCAATTCACACAACACATTAAACCATAAACAAATTGCATACTACAATGCTGAGTTTGTACCAACGCAAAGCCACAAACAAGCACACTAACTACATTATGGCTTACCATGATACATGATCCTATGGAAGTTGTAGGGTCTCCATCTCTGGAGGCTTTAAGAGGAGGCTGGACAGCCACTTCTCAGGGATAGTTTAACTGATTTCCTGCACATTGCAGAGGATTGAACTAGATGATCCTTGTGGTCCTTTTGAGTTCTATGACTGATCCATTCATTATCACCACAATGTTGTGCTGACCCTCTTGACATTAGATATGAGAGCAGGCTATTAAATATTCAAAATGTTTCTGATTAAGATGAGCATATTCTTCATAAGGCAACTTCCCCTTGTTACCAATTTTCTCTGTCAGCCTGCAGGTATGGAACTATATTACAGCATACCTTTTCTGTTCAAGTAGAATGAACAGAGCGTAGAAACAGGAAGATATGGAAAGTAATAAAAAATATTCAGGGGAAAAACTTTGAAAAAATCATAAGAAACACCTTTTTCCCCAAGGGATAAAATAGGGTGAAAAGAACATTCTAATTTTCCCCCAATTCTTTTCTAGGCCTCCACATCTTTAGTTGAGGACCAAAAGTTGTTTGGTGCCTATCATGAGAAGAATGCCCATTCATATCTGCATCCTTTCTTACCCTTAGATGAAGATCAAAGGCCAACTTCAGGTTATCTTCATACTGTGTTCCATTATAAAGTTGAGCAAAGCTTCAGAGATCTGATTTAACCTCTCAGCTGAATTTCCAAATCCATTTGTTGAATCAGATCTCTCTAAAGTGATGATGCAAAAGAGGACATGTCAAGGCTTGCTCTGGTTTTAAAGCATATATAATTTGAATGTATAACAGCAGCCTGAAGGGAGTAGCCATGTTAATCTCTTGCAGCAAAACTCAGAATTTTGCAGCACCTCAAAGATAATTTTATTTTCCTACGATTCATGTATTCCATGCATTTGATACATGGACTATGATCCAAGAAAGCATATACAAAGAATTGTGCTAGTCTTTACAGTACCATAGCATTCAGTGCAAACAATGGATGACAACTCATCTGTTTAATTAATTAGCCTTTTGAAGTGCCTGCTATTAATTCCTTCTTGTCAGGCTCATATGATATAAAGCATAACTTCACTGACACAAAAGATTCAAAGAGTTTAACATTTATTTTTACAAGGCATTTGCCTCATTGGTTTGTGAGGTTTATAAAGGTTAAATTTGTGCTACAGTTCTCAGCCCAACCATTGCCTGCAATGGACTGGATACATTTCTGACATATAAATGAATCCCACAGCACTCAGGCCACTGGTTTAATCAGCTCATGTTAAGTCAAAGGATGTACAGATGTAGAGATTTGCCAAACTCTTGAGAGTTTAAAAAAGAGAAAAGCTATGTATTACCAAAACCATGCATTTTGTGACATTTGCACAATCTCCACTAGTTCTGCAAGTTTTATTAGACAAAGCTTTTTGAACTATTTTAAAGGAAAAGGAAACCAGCACAGACAGAAACCAATGTAAATGCATTGTATTTTACAAGCCAGGAAGGGTTTTCTTCTTAAGTTCCAGTTCATCCAGGTCTACCTAAAAGGCAAATGGATTCCCTCAGTGGAGCCTATATTTGCAAAGGTTCAAATGCTTAGTCTGATGTAGGTCTGCAAAAATCAATGGGCTATGCTTAAGCAGAACCAACATGCCAAAGGCAGCCTACAAGTAATATATTGCCTTCGACTAATGCCCCTGTTTTTTTGCTGTCTCAGACTGGCAATCAACATAGGAGCCACATCTAGCAAGCTGCCATGCAGATCTGGCGAGTTAACTTCAAACTGTGCATGTCTGCTCTGTTAAGTGCTTAGAGAATGCAGTCTTTGAGAGTGCCTTCAGAGGTGAAAACTGAACATTAAATAAGCTTGAAATATGAAACAACATACACGAATGCACAGCCAGATATTCTTGCAGAACAACTCTCAACATATACCTAAAACAGCGCAAAATGTTCAGGATCATTATTCTTGGGTTGAACATTTGATAAGATCTTTATTGTTTGGAAGCCAGTTACAGAAACCCTACTTTCAAGTAACCTTTATAAAAGATGACAAGAGAGAGGTTCTGAGAAATTCATTTTTCAACCATTTCTGAACTAATCAGCCACTACTCGGCCAGTACTTTTAATGAAGAAAGTCTGCTCTTGCCCAGCACGTTTTAGTTTTACTAGAACAGAAAAACTATTTGGGAGAAGGGAAGCAAAGGAGTTTACAAAAGTGTAAACATATGCAATTGGAAACCAGATTATCAATAGTCACAAGCCTGCAGCTTTCTGGATAAAGTTGAAATAATGACAGTTGGAAAAAAAAAAAAGGTATCCAATTATTAGCACCTTGAAAAACAGGTAAGTTTCACCCACCTCAAATATGTGGGGAATTCTGGAAAGTGGAATCAGAGTCATATTTAAGATGTAGGGCATTTTTATTGTTAAGGCACATAAGACCCTAACACTAAAGATCAAATGGAGATATGAAAGGCTGTAAGTCACATTAACTTATCTCAATAATGGCTTTTATAAGAAATCTGGAATTCCTCTCTGGAAACTAGTTTTACAAAATGTTATAGATTTTAGTCAAAAAAGGGTGGGAGGACAAGGACAACTGAAGTTTTCCTGAGCCTAAGTTACATAACCTAGTCCTGAACCATGACTATTTTTAACAAAAACTAATTATGTTTTCACAAAGAGCCCTTGGTAATTTCATTTCCAAGAAGCACAAGAACTTTAGTGTTATTAAACTACATACATCAACAAACCTCATCAGACAACAGAGCCTCAAGCTTAACAATTTTCATGCCCCAATTAAGTAGTACTGTACAGCAGAATGTGGGTTATCACAGGTTAATCCCATGTATATCCCCATGTTCCCCATACCCATTCAGCTTCCACCTCACAGAGGTGTCTTAATGTTCCCCATTAGAAAGGGTAACAGCAACTGCTTCAGTGTCCATTTTTGCAGGAATTCGTGGTACTTTCTTGGCAGGGCTGGGAATGTGCTAGGAAAGGGGAAAGAAGCCACAGATTAGAACCCAGCAAAAAGCAAAACTGACAGTTATTTTAAATTTCTGTTTCAAAATGGAATGAGAAAACCTAATTACACACAAGGAAACAGTAACATAGTACTAAATGCTTGATCTAAGTCTGTAAGTAAATACTTGGTCTACATAGTACTAATACTTGGTCATGCTGGCTAGGGAATTCTGGGAGTTGAAGTCTATGCGTCTTTAAGTTGCCAAAGTTGAAAAACTCTGGTCTAGACAATTGTCTATGTTGCATAATAAAGGATTTAACTCTGAACATCTCTAGGAAATGTTCACACTTGGATGTAACAGATTATTTGGTTGAGAATTGCCATGTTTATTTAATAAATCATTTGCATGGCCACCCAACTCAAACAGTGTGATTCTGGGCAGCGTATAAAATCATTAAACAAAAATGTAAAAGTAGTTTATACCACTAAACTAAAACCATTAAATGGTGATCTAGACTAAAGCATACATACAATGGGGCAAAAAAGTATTTAGTCAGCCACCAATTGTGCAAGTTCTCCCACTTAAAAAGATGAGAGAGGCCTGTAATTTTCATCATAGGTATACCTCAA